CGGGCGAATTAGCCGGCTAATTACTAACCGCACGACGGTAACGAACTGAGAGCGCGGCTGATCGTTGGGACGGAAAATTTACCGTTACACACAAGAACTCGATTACCAATGGAGATTAATTCTCGATATCGGGCAGACATTAGCCGCTCCTCCTCTTCCATTCGTGAGAGAGCGATATGGACGGACACACCAGCGGCGACTCGAGCTAGGAAACTGATATTACGATCTTCTAATGTCTCACGATATTACGTGGAATTCAAGTCAACAAGTACTCCTCGATGGTAAGAATACAGTTGCCGAGTTGTCACCTATAATTTATCGCAACCGGGTCGACGTTACGAATTATTTGGCGGATAAATCGCCGGCAAGTCGCGACGACTTGTCCCGTTGATTCATAAAGAGAAAGAGAGAATACACAAGACAGAACAGAGAGGCCACGTGTCGCCAAAGAAAAGAGACAGACAGGTCACCGACCGGTTCCCGGTGACAATTCTGACGGCCGACCAACGCACCGGCCATCAGGTATTCCTACATTATTAGCGAAACTAGGCCAACGGTGCAGGTTCACTAAACCACAACGTAAACTGGAGTACCTTTGTTTTCGTCTACGCCCCGCGGTAGAGCCGTCTCTCGAATATTTCAACTGTCGACTGACTAATCAAATTCGATTGTGCGAAATATATTTACATACCTTTTCTCCGGATTATTTTATCGCAATTATTAGCGTATCGCAAATTAATTTCTAAGAGCAAATACAATTTCTCATTTGTTGCATAAAAATGATCATCAGTTTCCTGATACATTTCATCAAGATATAATCTCCTATCCACTTTATTAAGCTTAGCGTTAATTCTATATTAATCGAGACTGCGCGCCAGTTCTTGTGAAACGCAAAAAAGTGCTCCGATAGCATTGAACGAACGGGAAAACGGAACCGCGCCTATGTCCATCGATTAGCGTTCTGAAAACCGTTCGTGCGGTCGTGCACCATACGTGAGACTAGGTAGCGTGGGGACGATTCGTGCGCGCATTGAAATTCCCTCCGATCTCGCGGAGGCCGAGTAGCCGATTTTTATCGAGTACACGACTATGGTTACCGGACGGCACTCATAAACCGCATTCGATATCGGGGAACGGTCCAACGCGCGCGGAATAAAAACCACTCGACTGGACAGGCACATTCGCGGTATATTTCAATCGGGACGAGCCGCTCGGACATCGAGGGGTCCTTTCGACGAACGAAATCAAGTGACGAGACGAAAGTGGTCGATAAGAGCGTCGAAAAAAATAATTAAACGCGAACGTTTCACGTGACAATATATTCAATGATGAGAGAAGTTTCTCCTCCGCAAATTTTCGCAGTCGCGATAATCGATATGAGCAAGAGGCTCTCATACATGACGAGATTCAAATTCTTGCGTGTCTGGAGCAACTCGTCGACCAACAACAGACAAAGAAAGCCGATAATTTATCATTCATATTCATATTCGACGACCGAACACGTCAGGCTTGATTTATTCATCCGCGCCGGCAGAATGCACTTTACTCAATTCAAATATCCAAGTATTTTCGTACATTCCTATTTCGTCTTATCAAGTTTCATTTCAGAACATTTCGGGTCAACGTACTGCGGGTCAACTTGCCAAACTATATATCTATCCATCGCTAAATTCGGCAAAGACCGAATCGGATCTCTTGTCGTACGCGAACGAAGAATCCGACGTGTTCGATCGAATCTGTCAGTTTATTTCGCAACAAGAACATGATGAAGTGCGACGGATATGCAAGGCAATATTTTTATATGCACGTTGTTTGTCCAACGCGCTGTCCTTTTATAACCGGAGGCCGACGGCCGTCGGAGCGTCTACCTTGGCTCTTTTTTTTTATCCGTAAAGCTCTATATCGGAAAGATTATCGGCTCAACATCGATCGATCGCTTTGAGAGCCACGCGAAGCGTCGCCATTCAAAGTCCGGCGACGGTCCGACACGCGCCTCGTCCTTTTGAAACTTATTGTAGCGTGTGTGTGCTCGTGACGAATACCCTACACTCTGTCTCGTTCGACAAACACACACACACACATACGCGCATGGTTCGTCTCGTTCGTTTTTACCGTTTTGCGAATATCCGTGCGATTCGAGCGCTCGGTCAACCGAGGGCCTAAAACGGGTCTGACGAGAATACATACGTTTCACGGGCCATTTAACGATAAACTACATCGCCGCTTTGATATTTCGGGCGATTAATTTTACTTGGTTAATTTATTTTTATCCGATCGATGAAAGAATATTCGTATGCATATGTTATCCCCAGCTCGATTCATATCGGGTTTCGAAATCGCGCCTTGTCGTATAGAGATAATTTTTAACAATTACGCGTGTATAATTTGATAAATATGAAACGCAATAGGGGGAAAATATCAATGTAAATAAATGAATAAATTGAAAACATTGACATCTATCAAAAGTGTGCAAATAATCAAATATTAGAAACATGAGAAAGATTTCTCTCTATACGTGGAGAAAAAAAATACATGCACCAGCAAATCAAAACGCAGTATAAAATGCAGCGGAGATGCGGATAACAGTACCAATGCATTAGGGAAATAGCGAATGTGTCGTAACTGAAGAAGTGCGCGACACAGCAACTCGCCGGCCGGGTTGATCGCAAAATAATCATCTAGCGGCTTAAGGAGCTCCCTCTTACGTTTACATTGGGCCGACACAAACTTCGGATTCCCTCTTTCCGGTTATTGCCCTTTTCTCAGCTTGCGTGTCTCTCTACCGCCGTTTCTTATTTACACTTTATTACCACATTTCATTTTCGTCATTCTGTCTAATAAGCGCGCGAGCTTCGCCGCAGACACAAGTTGGTCTTGCTAATTAACGTTCAATGATGAATACATTGTTGGCGTGCGTATTTTTTCCGGTATTTTACTTTATTCATAGCTCTCTCTTTCTCGGAATCCGTCTTTTCTCATGAAAAAAATTTAACGCACGTCAGACCTTTTCGCATCTTTATTATCCTCTCTAATTGTCAATGTTAAACAGAGATTATGAGCGATTGTGTGTCTCAAATAAAAATAAAAGTTTAAGTAAAGACTCTAAAATTGTGAGAAAGAGAGAGAGAAACGACGGGTTCAACGTTACGGTAGCGATAATGATAAGACGCTTAAACAAGCATCTCCGCGCGAATCATCAGTATGCAGCATCTTTGCGAGGAATCGCGCGCGTTTATCACGATCGATATGCAGAGTTAACTGTTCATCGGAAACCATCGCGCGCGCGTTTTCCGCTGAAAGGCGATTTAATATATCACGCCCGTCGATCGCTCGAGTCGCGAAGTCGAGCTATCGGACGCACGTCGACCGTGACGGATTCGCAAGGAATTCCTTTTTGCGAGGATGAACAAGATTGCCTCTCGCGTCTTCGACGAGATCGTCCGTCAAGAAAATAGCAACGTTCGACCGCGAATGTAACAGCGGTTGCACGTGTTCGAACGAGGCGCCGCGTCATGCAGAACTTGATCAGATGATGATCGTCGTCGTCGTCGTCGTCGTCACTATGGTTTCCATGAGATTGGGAGAAGAATTCGATCCGCCGCAGGAATGTCCCGTTTATTCATCGCGCGCGTCTATCTCTCTTTTTGTCATCGTCGGGGCAGTTCACTACGATATACAAAGAAAGCCTCCATAGATTCCCTCTAGTTTACATTTTTCCTCTCCGTTATACTCTGTGTCGCTCTCTCGTATGAGGGGACTCGCGGTCCATTATTCCTATATACCTAGTATATTTCTGTGACTCATTATGTAGGATCGCGTGACCTTTTTTCAATTTTTCCCGCGGCCGTCGTTCAGAAAAATTTTATATACCCTTTCGATCTGAATTGCAGACAGGTTTCCCGATTTTGGAAAAAATTTTCCCAAGAATCTTATTTGTTTTGTTTAAAAAAATGTCAAAAATCTTAAACAAATTTGATCAATTATTGTATTATGTATCTCGGATTTCTCGTATAGTATATTTCGTTTCATATCACATCATCTTCCGGATATGCGAATTTTCAGGATCCTGCGTATCCTCTGGATTGGAACGGAGGCCTTCTTGGTATTCACGTATCGACGGTGTTTGCCTCGGTATTCAGACACTGTCTCTTAATTGTACGAGGTGTTCGTCTGACTATCCTTCACGACAGCCAGTCGACACGCATACCTATAGAATACGTCGCTTTGAATTATTTAGGCATCATCGGCCAGTCCTCTTAGACTCAGCTCTCGGTTCATCTTCGCGCGAGAGAGAAAAGATTAATATTCCATAATCATTACCTTTAATCTCTTTTCTTACTCATCAACCGCGACGTACGCGAATCAATTTATACGAATACGCTCGATCATTCTTAATTGATATTAATGAAATAATCGTAAGTGATATCCAATAGAGAACTGATGGCCAATTTTAATTTTACATTTACAACAGACGAAGATAATAAAATGATGTATCTTTTAATATAATTTTTCTCGCAAACTAAATATAATTTCTGTAAACTTCTCGAAAAGAAAATGTATTCCTCAAAGTTAAAATTTTTGGTATCCTTTAAAGCAAACGAATCGCACAAATGAAATCTTGTAATCAGCAACACAGAGTATAGAAAATCTTTCTCGATTCATCGGAGAAAAAATTACTTCACTATTATCCTTCTCGATAAACGATAAGAGAAATGTATAAATTTCCGTGTACAAAATTTCAATAAATCCTCCCCTTTCTCACATCTCCGGATCACTTTGAAATCGGGACGTTCCCTTGACGGCGCACATCATCACAGTCCATATAAAAATCCACGACAACGACTGACAGAGATCAAGACGCAACGTTATATCCAACCGCATGCAAAACCGAATCACTGCTCTTGATCACTCGATGTCACCGAAGAAGGTGGCGCGAGATCAACCCGCTTCCGTCACTTGTTCACCCTCGGACCCGAACTAAATACTTCACGATCACTTACCTATCCAGCACGGTCGTCGACGGCGGACGACCCTGACGGCTCGATGCGACGACGTGGTCCTCTCTCGACGCACGATCGACGATTAGTTACTTGGCACCGCGAGTCTACCGTACAGTTATGGAACCGTATTATACGTGTTTGCTCCCCGGAGTCGCGATAGTCTCTCGAAGGGAATAGCGGGAAAGCTTTTCTCTCGCCACCCTCTGACGAGCGTGTGCGAGCGCTTTACTCTCTCTCTCTCTCTCTCTCTCTCCCTCTCTTGCTCTCTTTAGCTGGCCCCTCAAAATCACCGCAACACCACACCGAACAGAAGTGAACTACTCGTGCGCCGCCGGTTCACGGTACCTTAAATACCTTGGCAGCCGCGCCGCCGCCACCGCCACCGCCGCCGCCGCCACCGCCGCCGCCACCACAGCGCAGGCAGAGCACACCACCACCCGCCACCACCGCCGTCGTGCGGCTCCCTACCTTAAACTCGCCCCACGCCGTGCGAGCGGATTGGCGGGGGAGCAGAGCGCGAGGCGATGTGTACCCGCAGGCTACACACCGGAGCATCCTCTCTTTTTCTCCGCTTCTCGTTCCCTCTTACGCGCGCGCAAACTCTCTCTCTCTCTCCTTCCCTACATCGTATTCCGTTTCTCCTCTCTTCTCCCGTTCCGCACGCTCTTCTCATCTTTCTCTTTTTCGTCCCCTCTTTTTCTCAATGTTCGACCACCAACGGCACGTCCGCAGGACTAACGCGTGTAACATCCCAAGGTAGCGGCGCGAAATGGAAGGATATCCTTTTTGCGCCCGCCGAGTGTCTTTTCCGTCTCGCTGGATCCTCGCGACTCCACGCGGATGTGCCTATGCATGGATTTGTCGCAACCTAGACGCGCCGGGTGTCATCGTCAGCGAACGTCGAGGAGCACCGATCGGTCGCAGCCGCCGCGCTGGACCAGCGATGCGCGAATACGAGTGCGCATAAGCGCAGGAACTGCGGGCTGCGCCCGTCCTGGCGCATTCGCGCTACGCGCGTCGACGCGAGCGTATCTGTCGCTCGACGTCCGCTGAGAGATGATCGAAATAAGATCCGAATAACGCGAAATGATCGTTCATTTTTGTGCGAGATATTCGTGCGAAAACAATTTCCTTTTCTCTCTGATTGGTTCGATTATTACCGAGAGACATTATAGAATCATAAGATCGATCAAAATTAATATTGATCGCTAGTGATGAAAATAAACTTGGCAAACTTGATTTCGACGTGACTAGCAAATTTTATTTAATTCTTTCGCGACGTTTCGATTATTTGGTTGTGGTCCTTATCAAGTGAAAATTCCATCAAATGTTTCGTTGACGAAACATCATAGCGATGGGACGTGTTCCTCTTTTAACTTTGAATTATTAGTTTTAAATGAGATCGGTGTGATGTTGCGTTAATCTCAGTTTAATTGATGGGATTTTCACTTGAACCAAATGGTCGAAACGTCGCGAAAGAATTAAATAAAATTTGCTAGTTACGTCGAAATCAAGTTTGCCAAGATTATAGAATCATGTTAAAGCTTGTCCGGGGATTTTTGAACGCATTGTCATTGGGAATTCGATTCGCTGACTCACTATCGAAATCTGACGAATCGAAAGTTGGGTCTTCGGTCGTTCTGAGAAAACAATCTTACGAAACTGTGGACTCTTACCTTCATTCACCGGCGTCATCGAATGTGTCGCACGAAATGACATTAGCCCACATAGATTGTCCTCTTCTTTCCACATGCTCATTAATCGACCGCCTGAAGGTCGGCAAATTCCGTAGACTCGCGGAGCCATGTCCTGCGAAGAAAAAAAAGCTCGTTTTAAAGATGATCTCATCGAGATTGATCAAAAAACGTGTATATATAATAAAATGTTTTACAACTCGCAACTATCTAATTGCGAATCGGTGGTCCATCTATTACATATAGATTAAGACTGACACATTAATAAGCTATAAATTATTCTAACGGCACGTGGAGATACCATCGCGTCCTTCTCTGTTTAAGGAAAGGTATTCTCATACTTTATATACCGAGGTGCTCTTTCGTACACAATATTCATTTGATTATATCGCTTGCAGGATCTCGATTCCGCGCGTTCCCTCTCTCGAAAAAAAGAAAAGAAAAAAAAAAAAAAAAAAAAAGAAACGCACGAAAATTCTCCCAACAACCAGATTATTAATTGTCAGCGGTTGCCGATAAACCTTCGCGAGATGTCCAGGAAGTCAGCCGATACCGTTCTCTCTTCTTTGCCCGCCGGCCATCCGTACATTCGTACTGTGCATCGTTCATATTTACGACGGAGAGAAGTTCATCGAGTGGAGGAGAGCAGTCGTAAAGCATATCGAGCGAGGTGCTCGCGAGAGATACCAGAGAACCGATATATCCACTTTGGTTCACCTTGGCTCATCGGACCAGGAAGAGAGGGAAATATTCGGTTCAGCGAACTGCGCTCGCACGACGAAACTGGTACCACGTCGTGGTCTCACCGAGAGATCGGTGCCATTGACACTGACATAATAACTCGAAAGAGGCAGTCACGAATGAATTTGCCGTCGATGGTGTAACGCTCTCTTGCATAAGAGAGAGAGCGCGGAGATCAAGCTGATGTGCCATAAAGGAGAGAGCGTGAGAGAGAAAAAGAGAGAGAGAGACGGGCCCAGAGCAGAGTGACGACGAGAAAGTGAAATGAGAAAGAGAGAAAGAGACAGACTGTCGAGCACAGACAGTGAACTTGACCTGAATCTCGGTCAGGGAGAAAGAATGATCGTGGGCTCCCGTAGAAAGGAGAAAGGAGGTAGAGAAAGAGCGAGACCGAGGAAATTACTTTCGATTTCGAACTCTCGCGGGATCGGTTACACTTTCTCCCTCGTCCACCGCTGCGCGACGAGATCGTTTCTTCTCTTTTCCCGATCTTCTCTCTCGATATGCTTGCAACATGTCATTGCACCTTACTCTCGCGCTGTCAGGACCTTGGACCTCAGCTGACAGGACCTTGGGGGAAAACCGCGATCGATGAAACTACGTCAAACTTTTATACCGATGTCATAACTTTCTCGTAATAATGACGTAACGTGTTTACTCGCTTACAAAAAATATCTGCCATATATATATATAGTTAAAATCGTTCGGATACACAGGTATCCCTCGACGTGTAAAATTACCATTGATAAAGATCACGATATTCGAGTTTGATCGAGTCATTTAAGTAGCGACTAAATGGCGGAACGAATTTGTTGTAAACATCGCATTTAACGGTAGTTGTTGATACCCTATAATTTGGCACAATCGTCAAAACTCTATGACAGTATAAATTACTAACTCGTGGGAATTATTTAGAAATTAGACCCAAAAAGAATGTCGCGCTATTTCTGTCGTAGTACCGCTAAAACACATCAATTCTGACGCAACACTTGGATCGTACATTAAAAAATTCTGATACTTAAGCGCAGACTTTCTGCTGCATTTAAATATATTTAAATATATTCAGACGTCATAAATAAAATAAAATTATTCTCTGTAATTTTAATAACCATTTACAAATAAATTATATTATAACGTCAAATTTGATTCTAGAATAAGAAACACGGGATAAAAGAAACGCTATTAACGAGAAATGAAAAAGATTTGCACAAATTTTATTTTAATTTCTTGTTTGCTTCGCGAAAAAAAGTGACCGGCCGTTCACTACCCGAGACAGACACATCTCTCTCGATATTATACTCGGAGCGGGCAACACAAGTCGACGAACGACCTTGCGACATTTGCCGTGCAGCGAACTTGACGACTCCGCTCGCCGGATCGAAACCGCCGATTCCCCGACGAGAGAATGTCGGCGAAATCCCGTTTCCCGATGTTCGCCACCGAGATTATAGAGCGAACTCCCTCTCACACCAGATTTCCGCAGGTCGCGGGATATTACAGCCTCGCGGGCATTCTCTTCCTTCTCCCGGTTCTCCAAGTTACCAAGGAGCTCCTCCTTAAGCTTCTCCCGGTTGTAGACGACGACCCGGCAAATCTGCTGTCTACGATTTAACTGCGACGCTCGCCTCGTAAATAAACGGTACCGCACATCGTCGCTCTCCTCGGTAAATGGAGATATTATGCGGACCTCCCGGTCGACTGGATATACTGGAGCGAGAAAAAAGGAACGATGGAAAAACGGAACGTGTTCTAGGCTGTCTTCGCGGTTTTCCGGTAAGGTCGCGTGTAAAGCCGGCGAAATATTTGTCGGGCACCTTACGGGAGCGTATACGTGAACAGGCGGAAGCGTGAACACGTGCGATAGGGGGTTAGTGTCGGCGAATATAATAACATCTCTACCCGCCCGATATTAGACGTCTCTGTAAATATCGGAGTTTATGTACGAGCGAAGTTTCTTTGCCGCGCGATACCGTTTTACGGGCTCACCCCGTTTGCGTGTAACGATAAATGACGAGAGGATTAGCGGAGGGATCAAGGACGTCGATAGACGCAACAAAGTTACAAAATAACGCAAACCGTTATTTCGATGAGAAGAGTTTCAGCGTTGAATAATGTATGATCTGCTTTACGTTTATCTTCAACATTTTTTAAGCGTCCTAGCTTTATATATAATTAATGACATCGCTTTTGATTATAATGCTAAATTATATCATCAAATGTATCGTACACATTTAAGACTATATATAATGTCATTAAAAAATGCCGAAAATTGAAAAGGAGAAAATATAGCTCCTATACAAGATTGCAAAGATATCGATATCTGTATTTTACGGCCGCGTTAGAAGTTCGCGAGGCTCACGTAGCACATGACGGAAGAATCTTCTTCTTCCTGGACCGTTTTACCGTCGACATCACGACTCAGCGCACGCCGCCGGGCTGAAATAACGTGAAAAACGGTCACGTGTTCCGCGCCGCACGTGCTATCGCGAATATACGCATTTCGGATTCTGAGTAAGAATAAACGTCTTCGCGTTCGCGGCGCCTGTATTATCGTCGATTTCGTGGCTCGCTTTACAATTTTCGCTCGTTTCGGTTGCCTGACCCGATATGTCATTTCCGCGAAACCTATATCGCTCTGTCAATTACGGAGATCGAAATAAATTTCGATATAAAAAATGTGCGCGTTTCGCGTCGAAAATTCATCCGAGCGCTCGTGTTCGCAGATTTCTCGAATATCGATAAGTCGATAAACGCACGACGGAAACGTCGCGTTCCCAGAATCCTTCCGCTTCGCGAGTATTATTCTATGTGTATATATATATATATATATTTTCTCTTGTATTCATGTCGCGGAAAATGTAGATGAAAAGTATACGAGATCACTCTAGGTATTTTATTCACTATT